TACTCAAACACTTGCTCCATTCCAGCAGAAATTTCTGCAGAGACAGAAATGAGACACTAGATACACTGATTCTTCATTTGGGGAAAATATCGGGTATGAAGGCAACATTCACAACCTTAAAATAGAACAGAACATAACATCCATCAGAATGTTTACAGTATAAATTATAATCATGACCTAATCTTTCTTCTAATTACTTGTGCCCTTAAAGGATTATGGACAAAGACTGGTATTGCAATTTAATTTTTAGTAGTGATTCCTTATTACTTCTATTATTTTGAGAGCCAGTCCTGCAGGATGCTGAGCCCCAGGAACTCTCCAGTGATCAACAGTTGAGGATACTTGGGTCCTTTCAATTCCCACAAACATCATGTTGTTACACAGGACCATTGCAAGCAGCCTCTTTACTATGACACTCTGGTCAATGATTAGCCATATATAAGCTATATATAACACAAACTAGTTTTGCTTGCATATAAACATTCAGAAAGTTAAAATTACTATCAAAATGAATTCATAACCGTATCATCATACAGCATACTGCTCTGTCTGTTACTTTTGCAGTATGTATTCAAAGTACATTATACTCTAAATTAGAATAAATATTTAACATTAAAACATTCAACAGATTCCTAAGACTTAGCTGGGAAAATAATTTTCTGATCATCAGCTGTTCAGCTCAACTTTAACTGTGACATGATAGGCTGGAAATTATCTACTTTAAGAGGCAATATTCAATTTTAAATTATGGCAACTGAAGATTTTACTGTCTAAAAGTTATATTATTTGTATTCATATTGAGTAACTGTACCTTTTTTATTTTCAAAATCTGTCAGACAAACCAAGTTTCTACTAAACTGACTAGATTTTACTAACTTCCCTAGAATTCTGAAATAGAACACATTTCAAACTTACTTCTCCAAGTTTCACATTCTATGCGGTCTTGCAATTTTAAGAACATCAAAGAGTCCATCAGGAATACATTTACTGTCCTTGTGATCTTTTAAAGGAGAACTGTAACCCTTAAGTCTTGAAGTCTTATGATATTTTAAATTATAAAAGTCACACTTAACCAATAATACACTCAAAGGCCACTCTGATGGCATATGTTGTATTGTACTTGTCCATACTGGAAGGGGACTTGTAGAATTCGATTTAGTAAATTAACCATCACTAGGACTGTTACACTGAAAAAACATGCTTCTAAAATCTCATTTCAATACTGTAACTAACTAATATAGAAATGTGGATTAGGAAGTAAGGTTGTAGTATTGGCAGATTCCAAAAATTACTCTCCTTACACAACTGATAACTATAAAGTGTATTTTGAACAAATGACAAAATCTAACAAAATATAAGCAAATTTAATAATTTACAGGAGTCCTGAATTTTGTCCCATATCTGCAATATTTCTGTATTTTATTTAACATCTATATACTCTTCACTGGCCAAATTAAATAAATTAGTATTTTGCTGATTTTTCTATTCACTTGATTTAACAACACTTCAAGCAATTTGTTTCTCTCATGTTCCTTACAAACGTAATCAAATATAGCATCTATCAAAAAAGTTTAGCTTCTGTATCATTGATATTTTAATTTTGTTTTTATCTTTTGCTCTCTTTAGTTTCATTGAAATACCAAAATATTTTCTGTAATGAAAGACATACTTATGCTCTCCAAGAATATTTCAGCTCCATTAAAGTCAACAAAAGTCAATATTCAATCCCTCTTCCCAATTCCCTAAACTTTTCATTCTTATAATAAATATGGAGAATGCCTAAAATTCCAAACCTGGACCACCTTCCTAACTTGGTGGGAAATTCAACTCCCATGAAATATTCAGTATAAGACAGACCTGATGAAAAAAATGTATTGTCTAGACAAAATATTTGATAGCACTGCAATTAATACAGTTTTTAGATGTGACCTGCTATAAATAGTGTCCTTCTACAGATGCCTACGTATGTTGTTTTTTATCATAACTCCCTCCAGTACTTTCGAGCTGTCAAACTCAGACTGTAGAAGCTGGAACTTATTTATATATAATTCAGTGCCTACACCCAATTTATCAACTTCAGTTTCCAGTGTACCCAAGGGAACCAGTAACTGTCTTATTCCAGGTAGCAGTACACCTTGCAATATGGTGTGAAAAAGAAGTTGTTAGAACTTTAGCCACACCCTGAGAATATCTTTCACTATCTAGACAAGCTGTATTCAGCGTGCCTCCATTTTGCTAATACTCTGTCACTGATGCCTGCAGGAAAGCTTTTGCTATCTCCTTTCCTCTCTCTAACGACTGAGTATTTTACCCTGACTGCTGCTATCTCTGTACAACAAATTCAAGAAGAAATTTAGTTCATGTAGAATTTGATAGGTTTTAAGGATGATTAAAAGCTTTGTTAGAGACAGAATTTCAGAATCCATTATTCCCTTCCCACTTTGGGGCATACAGCAGAAGTGAAAACTTCTCATATGGACTTGAATTTTGTTTAATTTTTCAGATACATTTTAACAAACCCAACTATTTCATGTACTAATTGCTAATGATTCTCACCACTCTTCAGTCTTTTCTGACAATAAAAAAATGCCTTGTCAGGTTGCTAGAGAGTAGAGGAGTAAGTCTATTACATATTTTCTTTTTCTTCATAATGGATTGTTAAAATCAAGCGGTATAGAATTGAGTTACTTTATGCCGCCATTTTGAAACATGTTTTGGTGCCTGTTTGTATATCAAACAAATTACTAGTTTGTAACACATAAAAGTATCTGAAGAGTTCAGGAAATCTGAAGTCTCACTTTTTTCAAGGGTCTGGGGAACCATTTGGTTTATTTTTAACGTGTACTGTTCAATATTTTACTGATTTCAAAGACAGATAATCCAAGCAGTATCAGGAAGTGGACAAACATACCGCATCGCTGAAGCTCTTCAGAAAGTTTGCATTCTGTGATTAATTTAATAATTCATACATTTTGCCAATTTTATATATGATAGACTAAAAAAAAGGAAGGGGAGAAGAGTGTGGGGAAAACAAAGGTAGAGAAAATAAGAGAATTAGTCACTGAGGTACTCTAGAAAAGATCTAAATACCTTCATAACTGCCTTTGAGACTTTAGAATCTATGTTCTTTTTTTCATAATAAATTGTTTCATTTGAAAATACCATTAACTGTGTCTTTTGGAGAACCTCAGATTTTTAGTGCTTTGGTATCATTACGTTATTACTGTATCTATATTAATATATGCAGCTGTCCCTTTTTGTATATTTTATCATTATTTCATACAAAATAGACCTTTAAATCTTTTCTACAGAAAAAAATAACTAAACTAGTTACCTTTCTGTATCTTTTTATATTTTCTTTGTAGAAAAAATTCAATAGAGTCTGTATCTGAGGGGATTCTCTTTCCATTGTAGACCCTGGAATGTCAATGGCAGCTCATTCATAAATTCTGTAATTTCCTTTTCTTGTGATAGAGCTATATTTTGTAGATCTATCTTCCACAGAAATTAAAAACTGTATCCTTGTAAAAGACACTGCTGACCAAAAAGGGGCTTCTCTCAGTCATCTTACCATAAAACATAAATTTTGGTTCACCCACCAAAGAAAATCTGGTTATTTTAATCCTAGAACTCAGAACTCAAAAACATAATAAACCACTGCAGGAAGAAAATAGCATTTTTGATCTGGGAACTTTATGCCAAGGATATGCAATCTTTTCAGATAACATGTGGGCAGAACAGTTTCTGCTCCATTTGTCTTCCAGTGGTGTTCTTAACTCCTGAAGAGAAAAGACACCAATCTCACAGACTTGGAGAAAGTAAGTTAGAAAACCATGTCCTGTCCATACTCCTCTTAATAGACAACCAAAACACACTCACAAGCTTGGATTTTGACTTTTTTATACCAAGGTTTTGCTTCTTTAAGTATATTTTGATCCTACTTTTCTCTTTGTTAAGATTACATAGCACCTAAAAATCTACAACAGCGTTGGCCTTTCTGTGCTAGATGCTGAAAAAGTACACAATGTAGACCTCAGAGAATCTAACCAGGATCCCAAAAAAACGCAAACTGTAAAGCTAATATATTTTTGCCACATAAAGCTGAAAAACTCATTTATAATAACCTTTGTTAAAATCTTATAGCTAAGGTTACCCTGACCATAGATCATGACCTTGAGTCTCATAAGGGAAAATAATTGAAACTGTCTGCGCTAACAGGATGGTGCTGCTGTCCGTGGGATTTACATGTGGGCCATATTCAGCAGTGCTGACCACGCAACCCTGAGAAAGCCAAATCACATCCCTGCCTGTTCTCCCTCATCCGTACCTGCGGAAGCGTGACCAGGAGCTGTGGCAGCGGCAGACAGGAGCCCACCCAGAGCCACGGCTGGCAAACCAGCGCTGCCTGACTTACAAATACAGCTGGTTGAGGTAGAGAAAAGGAAACTCCGGATTGCACACCACATGTCCTTGGGAGGCATCCCAAAGGACTCCTCAGCCAACGACCTCCGCCAACCTTCGACCATCCAGGTGCATCCCACCACAGCCCACCGGCCAAAGTGGGGAGACACGGCGGCCCCTTGCTGGTCCACGGGGGGCAGAGAGGCAGCTTTTCCCTCATCGGGGCTCAGCCAAGCCCCGGTTTAACTTCCTCGGTGGGGGAGCGAAAGGGCGGGACCCCCCAGAGGACACCCCCCCTCTCCCCGCTGTGGCACCCGCGGCTCCCCACAGCAGCCCGCCAGTGCTCCTTCAGGAGGGGCGCACCTCGCAGCCACGGGGCGCCGCGCAGCCTCCGCCCGCCGCCGCCGGGACACAGCGCGAAGCCCGGGCGCAGGGGCACAGAGAGGCACGGAGAGGCTCGGAGAGGCTCGGAGAGCCGCGCCGCGCCGCTCCCCCCGCCGCATCCCCGCTAACGGCCCGCGGCTCCCTCAGCGGCGGCGGTGATGTCACATCCGCCGCCCGCGCCCGTCCAGCCGCGCTCGCGCCGCCGTCTCCCGGGCCCAAAGTTTTGCGGTGGGCTGGCCGGGGGCGGGGGGGAGGGGCGGGGGTGGGACGGGGCAGCCGAGCCGCTCCGGCAGCACCGGCAGCGCCGTCCTCGCCCTCCCTGCCCGCGGAATGAGCGTCCCCCGGGCGGCTGCCGCTGCCGCCTCCACTCGGGCTCCGGCGGGCGGGCAGACGGCGGCGGCTGCCGGCGCGGTCGCTGCGGCGGGAACGGAGTGAATGACCGAGAGGAGCGGCGCAGAGAGGCAGCCCCGGGATCAGGATGAGGGCGCCCGCCAGCATCCTCAACCTCCTGCTGCTGTCCTTGCTGGCCGGCCTCGATCCGTCCAAGGTAGGAGCCGGGCGCGCCCGCGGGCGGGCAAGTTGACCCGGCCCCGCCGCGGCGGAGCGAGGCGGGCGGTGCCGGCCCGCAACCCGGCGGCCGCGGTAGCGGTGCGGCTCTGCCCGGGGGCGGAGGGGGAGGCGGCTGCGTGTCCTTGGTCGTCCGATCGGCCAGGCGGGAAGAGTTGGTGGCGGAAGCGGCTGCCCCCGGGCCGGCCCCGGGCTCACGGGCTTGGCGGTGGGAGGCGGGGAGGCGCGGGTGCCGGAGGGGCTGCGGCGGGCTGCCCGCGGCCCCGCCGCTCACAGCAAGCGCCCCCCGCAGACCCCGCGCATCTCCCCACGACACCCCCCGGGGCACCACCCCACGCAAAAGTTCCGTCAGCTGCACGGGGCGAGGAGGGGCGCGGGGCTCAGGCCGGTCGCTGGGCGGCCGGAACGACCGGCGATTTACCCGAAGGCAGGCACGGGGGCACCGATACCCGCGCTCGGTGACCGCACCGGCCGTGGGGAAGGGGCTGGGCGCTGGCAGCGGGCACCGACAGCCTCTGGCTGGAAATAAATGTGTCTGGAGTGGAAGCGGAGGCGTCACGTGAAGACGCCGGTGTCAGGACTGGTGCCGCGCTCCGGGCTCTGCGGGGTCTCGCTGTTTCCAAATGTGCTCGGCTCACCAAAAGATCACATCTGATATTGAAATAACGATACGAGTAAACAGTATGTTACGGCCGCGCAGCCTGGCTTGTGAAGGCGGTTTTAGAGTAAACCATTAAAAAAATCAGAATTGCACTCAAGAGCAATAATGACCGAACCCCCCTAGGCCTGCAGATGTCTGTAGTGCTGCATCTTATAGACGTAGAACTTGTCTCATTTGTCTTTTTGTGACATGCAATCTTGTAACTATGAGCATTAGAAAAAAGTAACGAGAGAGAAAATGTTCTTACGGTACTGCAGTCCATTACTAGCAGCAGTCCATACCGTGTTGCCACAATTTACATTGTGTGTTGGTGAATGGCATTTTTATGATACTGTGTAGGTACCAGACAGCCGTATGAGGCAATGTTCAGCTCTTCTGGCAGGTTTTTTTTTTTTTTTCCTTTAAAGGTACTAATCAAATACAAATATGTACTGAATTTCCAACAATATGGAAGGGATGTTCCTCTTTAAAAATATAAAGATAGAACTTAAAAAGCAATTAGGTGGAAATCTGATTTACGGCCACAGTATTCAGACCACTTTTTACTCAGTAAGATGCAGTGACAAAAAAGCAGGAGGTGATATAGAATGAATAACATTAGCCAAATAATTAATTCTATCAATGTTATTAAATCTGAGCTATTTGAAAGTATCAGCTATTGCTATGTCTGTAAAGAGACTCATCAGGCGTTCCACATCTGTCTGAATAGCAGCACATGGTCATGTTACAATTGCAGGTTTTCACACACTCATTTTTCTTTATTTTTCTATCTTCTGTTACACTTAGAGAGATCTATTACAGTTAAGGGATTTAAAGAGACTCTGTGAAAGCAGGAAAAGCAAAATTTGTATCACTGTCTATCCACAGAAGAATAAAACCACTAACAAAGCAAACGAGCTTCAGCTGGCAGAATTATTCTTTTAGTTCAGGTGTCAGAGATATGCCCCAAAATAACAGTGGGAAGAAATGCTCCATTTCATGTGTCTGACACTGTCCACCACTGAAAAGCAGGATAAGCCACTGGAATGAAATGGCATAAATTAACTTTTCAAACTTTGCTTCTAGCCCTTTTTGCTGTGGCATACTGTGCAGAGGGCATAAAAATGGCCTTTTATTCATCACTCTCTGTGACATTTTCAGGGCTATTAAAATGTTCATTACAGGCTCTTTTAACTTTGTGAAGGGGTCATGAGCCAGAAAGCTCAGAAGTCCTTAAGATTATGTAAAAATAAGAGCCCTTAACCAAAGTCTGGTGTTTATCAGAGCCAAATTCGTTTTTCAGAAAAAAAAACCCCAACCAAACAAACAAAAAAAAAAACATGAGATCACATGGTTAGTTAGATCTTTGGTTAAGATGCTACACCGTGTTAAGCATAAAAAAGATGCCACATGACAGACAATCATTTCGTTTTCTTGACCAGGAACAACAGATTTCATATTTCTGTCAAAAGCGATATATGTAAAAATGTTTACAGATTTTTTTTAGCAAATTAGTACAAGTTGTGACTGAAATCTCACTTTAGAAATGGAAGTAATGCTCAGTTATTTATCTTGCTTTATGTTAAATAGTAATTTTCTTCCCTGCAGGTGGGGAAGCAAATATACCATATGAAATTAATTGTAGGAAACAAACGGATGTTAAATTCTTTCTTTTCCAAAAAGAATTGTGCAATATGTTCATTACTAGACTGGCAACTTTTTACATGCCCTTGACACTCACAAACTATTCAGCTTATGAAAATAAATCACATCAGACATTTAAAAGTATTCACAATACATTCCTGTTCATGTCCTACATAATTAATATTTAAGTAATAGCTTATTTTACTTAGCAGCTACTTTTAAATAATCTCTGGGAAAAAAAGCTTTGATTTAGTACCAGGCCATCACTACTCAAGACTGCTGTCCACAGGCATTCTTATTATGACAGGGCTTTTATGCTAAACTTACTAGGTTATTTACTGATAGTAAAGTGTTTAAGTATCGCCATCTTATGGTAAAATATGTAACAAAAATATGTGTAGTTTATTCTTAGATCTCTGAAACATCTAGATTTTATTTCAACCATAGTAATTTATTGCTTCTGTATTTTTTTTTTTTTTGCCTGCTAAACATGATATAGAATATTGACCACCTCTGGAAATTCTTCTTTAAAAAATTGAAGATAGCTCACTACTGATTCATTTTAAACACTTTTAGTGCTAATTACAGAATATCAATTTTAAGACACTTACTAAATGTTGTATCTGTTAATTTGATTCTAATTTTCTCTCTGTTTACATAGAATAATACAAAAAATATAATTATTCATGATAATATATTTCAGTAAAGTTTTATATTCAGCAGGGTGGCTAGATACTCAGCAGGAATCCAGCTATAGGAAAAGGACTTGGGATATAAAATCTTTCCTTTCTCCTACACTTAAGTGCAGTATTTTGATAGACGAAACCATTAAATATTAGGAAATTCCTAAGAGTTACTGCTAGATGGCATCTCTGTGCTGCTTTTCTACATGCCTGGAGTTTTCTGTAATGACCTTCATAGTATGTAAAGTGGACTTCTTTTGTAAGGGATGCTTTTGCTGGCCAATCATTTGATAATCACAGTAGTATAACCAAGGAGACATTTTATAGTGATGTAATACTACTCCACCTAGAAATCAAGCTTAGCAGGTTTCAAAGTCTAGATGGCATTTTTTAAGTTTAATTTTGAAAATTGAAACAGATCTGAAAAATATGTTCATTTGTCAATGCAGTTAATGAACTTTATGCCTTTAACTTTCGTAACAGCTGTTATGTCCTACATCCGTTGGATTTCAATTATTTGAATTTTGCAGGAAAATATTTCAGAAGACTGCCAAGTACAATCCCAAACAGAAGCTAAGTATATCATTAAGGACAGTCACAGAAAGCAACTGTTATCTGTATTTATTGCTTCGGACATCAGGATGTTTGGGAATATTAAAATTAAAAAAATAAAAGCAAATTGGAAACCACTCATCTATCTTTGAATGCTTAATGAAACTTTGCATTTTGATCTTTGGAATGGCTGTGCTTCCAGATTTTAAATATCTACAATTTTCACACATAATCAGACTACACAACTAGCCACTAAAATATTTCTTTTTTACAGATTTCAAGAACTTGTCAATAGGAAGAGTGCACTGCTTTAATGCTGTTTCACAATACAAATTAGCTTATCCCTATTGTGAGATTTTATAACAAGAATACTACGTACAAACAAAGGTTACCACAATACACTGTTTTTGTTGGAAATATGACTTGTAGTACTACAGTACACTGCAAAGTTAAATGGAAATCTCATTAGCTACTTGGAAATTAATTTACCCTGTTTCCTACAGTATTAGTAGTGAGCCAATACGAAAATCATATACAATTATTTGCCCTGCATGATTTAAGAATGCTCTAAATCACTAATTGCTGAACGTGGTCAACTGTCACTTGGTGTCTGCTCTCTCCTTTCTGAGCAACATGATTCAATAGCCACTGAGGAACACCCTATTGCTATCTATATATCCTGGGCCTTCTCCCAGGCGTCATTCCAGCTGTTACTCTCACCCTAGAAACTTCAGTCAACGGGTAAAGACTGAAGTTGTTAACACTACTGGTTCTTCCTGCAATGGCCAATACCATGCCTTCTAACATTTCCTCCCTGAAAAAAAAAAAGGTGCTTCATCTATTTCCTGCTCATCCACACTCAGTGACACACATCCACCCTATGTTATACAAAAATCACAGAAAGATATTCGCTACATCATATTAAGTAACATATACAAGGGTATTAGAAGAGTCTATGTAAAAACATGCATGTGACAACTGTGACTGCCAACTCTTCTGGTATTATCAGACATCACATGGTCTCTAAGGGCTTTTTAGAACTGTTAACGGTATGTGAAGAGACCTTTTTTCTTCCTCTAGCTAAAACCAGATTCCTCTGTTGTTCACTACTGATATGACTGCTACTTCTCTGAATGCACTCATACACTGATTAAATACTATATAATATATAATGTCAACAAAAAATTTTATATATGTATATGCAGACATGTGTATACATACAATAAGTAATTATTTTCTCACTAGAAACAATTCTTCTCCCATTAGATGCATATTGCCTTCAGGTAACCAGACTTCCACCTTTCTTTGATATTTGGTCAAGTGACAAGCCAATAAAGGAACAATTCACAAAATACGCAAAGAAGAAAAAGCTGAAGCAGAGAAGGTGGCCGTCAGAAACAGGAAATGCAGTATAACAGCTATTAAAATAACATGCAGCTATAGCTCTAAAAACAGTGTTTC